AGCAGGAATTACAAAAAGGGGAGGGGGGGAAGAGCCTGTCAACCAGTGAAAACGAAAACCATCAGAGCCGCCTTCTTTTAATTTTTGGTAAAAATAGACAAAATGGGAAATAGATCCCCCAAAAGCTAAAGGCTGGAGGTAGGTATGTAGTTTCTTCCCTGCCCAGCAACAGAGTATACCGTAAAAATCAGTCTTAGCTGCCTTACACAGTTGCAAACAAGGAAACCCAGTTTGGGAAGCACATAAAGAATTCACAGTCTCAAATCAGGCGAGGCTGCGCATGCTGCAGAGGTACCAGAAGGATCCTGGTTTCTGTGAAATGCAGTGTATCAGCTCTACTGCTCCTCACCATCTGCTACTAAGTGAACCAGGCAGATATAATGATGCTGCCTCCAGAGGGAACTGTTGGCTGGCCCACCAGGAGGGGAGGGGGGCATTAGCAACAGCCATCCATGAGAGGCAAAGGAAAAAGGGTAATGAAAAACAGAAGATGAATATTCCAATTAAAGAACAGGTTTCAGTCAGTTCTCAGTGCATCCTGCTCTCTACCCTGTTACGAAAGCCATTCCGAAACCTATTTCAATGCTGTGTTGTACTCTTAAGAAAGTGTTCAAGAGCAATGTTTTTCAGTAATTTTAACAGAATTCATTTGAATTGGAAATCAAGAGAGAGGTCTTATATTCAACTCTGCCAGGAGAGCAGAGTGTATTCATCCATTGCATAAGAAACTATATATGATTTGCTCCAGATAATGCAAAAACAATCAGTAAAGTGATAAATCTATTGAAGACACATAGTAATAAACTAACCTGTTCCCTCCCGAGTGTGCACAGCCACACGCAGATGTTCTACATTATGGACATGCGCTCACTTGCATATGTGCTGGGCACAGGGAGTGAATAACGCCCACGGACTGCACACGGGATGCCGTAAATGGGGGGTTGGCATCAAGGAAGCGAACTTACACAAATGAAATGTCTCACCGTCACCTTTCTCCTTGCTTTTCCTCCTGAGTCTTGCTTGCTGCCTTCCCTAAGCTCCCTCTAGTACTTTCAAGCAAGCATTGTACCAAGAGCTCTTATTCTGTGGTAGATGTAAATCTAAAAAACTGAATTATTCTAAAAAACCAAACATATCAATGAATGCAGTTGGTATGAGGCCAAGCATTTTTTTAGTGATCTCAGTTTTCCACCTCTCCCTGGGTCATGCATTCTGTCTCCCCTTCTCTGTAACTTCACATATTTTCCAGTAGGGCAATAATCTCATGTTTTGGAGCATTAACGATTTAGGAGCATGGCTGTGAAGTACATACTGCATTGTAAAGATATTAGCATCTGCACATACTGCACATATACAACACAGTAAATTATGTTTCTTTAACTTATAAGAACTTCTACTGACATAATATAGTACACTGACCTGTTTAAATCTATACTTAACAGCAACACACATTAAAAGATACAGCAAAATAAAACTGATTTTTTTTCTATCCTTCACAATAAATGAGGTCACACAGAATTAAGGCTCCCATTAAGTTACCTTTCTAGTTCTATGTAACAGCATATAAAATAGCTAACATCTCTCACTGATCTCAGTCTTGTAAAAAACAGGCACAACAGAATTAAGATGCAGCACAAATCAGGATTCAGAACATACTTGCTTTAGAGAGTTTAATGTTACTTTAATTCCATTTTCTTGTTTGATCTATTATATTCTAAAACTCCCAAATCCATCACAGTGAACACAGAGACACCTAAGAGCACTGGTCATCAGTGGCCTTGCTTTTCAAAGTCGGTTCATATTTCATTTATCATTCTGAGAGCTTATGAAATAAAGAATAATTACATAAGTGTTTTGAAATCCAAGTGCTGCTCCCCTGGGCATAATATCCAGTGTTCTATTTTTAAGCAACAAATATCTTCTTTGGTAAACAAACTCGGATACAGAACATGCCATCGTGCTATCATGTCTTGGAAGCCAGAACAGGGAGGATAAACTGCAGCAAGGTGTCTATAATTAGGGAAATTTAGTAACAAGCATTCATGAAATCTGAAATCTTGGGACTCTGATTCAGCTCCGTCAATGATTTTACATTGCTGAGTAACTTCAGTGACTACCACTGCTTTAGAATGATGATTTAGAAATAATTAATGTAGAGATTTCCTAGGCTGAAGACAATATTCACGGACGAAACAAAACCAGCTCATTGGTAAATGTGGTTACTGTTTGTCACGTTAGATACATAAAGACGCCAAGACTCTTTTCCTCAGACAAAAATATGCACTAGGATGTCTAGCACAAGAAATTTATTCAGGTAAAACAGTCTAAAGAGAAAATAACTGGAGAACAATATTAATTGAAAAAGCAGTCCTCCTTCCACCCTAAAGCAGAGCAAAATTCAGGCTCCCAGATGAACGGAGCTCTGTTTCATCATGTTAGCTGAAACAATCAAACTCTGATGATAGCTGCAAAAACTACAGGTCTGTCTTTAAACCAAATTAGAATTACAGACTACAAGTCTACTCTTAGTACAGTAATAAACACCAGCAAGCAATAATTACATCCAATTAGGCTGAGTACTTTCCTTAACTGGGTCATTTACCAGTCTCTCTTGCTCCTAAAAGTAGATTAAATGTGTAGACTTACATTTAATTACCTGTAACAGAACTCTTATGGGCAACGTGTTGGAGTGTCCTTAATTTTGTATTAAAATAAAATAAAATAAAATGAGGGAGTCCTAAAATACATACAAAAAATGTCTAGCTATTTCCTCAAATAAGCTTTTGATCCTTGGGCTGATAGTGGCAGTACAGATGCTTACAAGATGGAGCCAGGCTCATGCTTCTTCTGGGAGCTTTAACTTGTAAAAAAAGAACAACTGCAAAGCAGAATTCTGCCCCATCTCCTTCCCACCCCCACCCTCTTTCATTTTCTTTAGATCAGGGGCCAAAAATAGATAAAAAGAAAGAGAAAGAAAGGACAGGAAAAACATAACAGAGGAGAGAAACCTAAGCTCAAAACCTATAAATGTCTCTGGACAGCTATGAGGTAAGGAGTAATGAGAAAAGTATTTGGAACAAATTCATGTCAGCTTGGATGATTTTGAGCTGTAACCTCTCTCCAAAAGGTAAAAAATGAAGCCTACAGGCTGTAAGCTTCTTCACTTTCCTTAGCACCTTAATGCCTCTCTCAAAATTAGCAAGATAATGATATTTTCTCCCATTTCTTCTACAGGGTAAACTACTCTTGTTGCTGTATTTGACACACAGATTTCAGAGTTGATACATAAACCAAACAAATGGTGTAATTCTCAGACCAGGATCAGCACTGAACTGACCAAAGTCATAGGGGAGCGTGGGGACAGCACTGTGTGCCGAACTCCCACTTAGAAACACTTGGACTTTCTATAATCACGTATTTCAAGCCTGGCAGTGTCGATTCGACCTGTCATTTCAAGGCAAATGGAATGAGATCCTGCATTTTCAGGCTGAGACTTTCAGATAGCTGCTCTGCATGAACATTACAGACCCCCTGGCACTTTCTGTGTGCATATTAACTTTGCCTTGTTTTCATGCCAACATTTCCCCTCTCCTACATCTATTTCTGTGCACTGTGTGGCCTAGTATTGCAGCTATCTTGAGCTTGACAGAGAAATAAGGAATTTATTTGTGCAAGTCAATGAGTTAAATAGCATAATGTGTGAGATGCAAGTCAGCCATATGCTTTGGGATCTCTGTAATCAAATATCCTAATAATACACAACAAAGGATGCTGTATTCTAACATGTTCAATATGTAGCCAAGAAAACTTTATATCTAGGAATACTGAACTCTTTACTGATAATAATAAACAATGTTATTCAAAGTGAGTCGTACAATAGCTGCCATTTACTATGCATTTGTATGCCTATGGTATGATACAACTTATTAATATATTTACATAATAAAAGATCCAGATAGTGCTACTAGGCTAAAATTCTCCTTGCAGCTCACTAAGCAAAAGAAAGTACATGTAGCTATG